CAAAATAGATAAGACCACTAGCCAGACTAATAAAGATTCAAATAGATGTAATAAAAATTATAAAGGCACTATTGCCACCAATCCCATAGAAATACAAACTAGCATAAGAGAATACTATAAACACCTCTATGTAAATAAAATCTAGAAGAAATGGATAAATTTTTGGACACTTACACTTTCCCAAGACTAAATCAGAAAGATGTCAAATCCCTTCATAGACCAATAATAAGTTCTGAACTTGAGGGAGCAATTAATAGCCTACCAGCCAAAAAAGTCCAAGACCAGGTGGATTCAGAGCTGAATCCTACCAGAAGTCCAAAGAGGAGCTGGTAGCATTCCTTCCGAAACTATTCCAAACAATAGAAAAAGAGGGAATCCTTCCTAATTATTTTTATGAGACCAACATCATCCTAATACGAAAACCTGGCAGAGACACACCTAAAAAAGAAAATTTCAGGCCAGTATCCCTGATGAATATCAATGCAGAAATCCTCAACAAAATAATGGCAAACCGAGTCCAATGGCACATCAAAAAAAGCTTATTTATCACCATCAAGTGGGCTTCATCCCTGGGATGCAATGCTGGCTCAACATACACAAATCAATAAATGTAATCTGTCACATAAACAGAACCAAAACCAAAAACTATATAATTATCTCAATGGATACAGAGAAGACTTTTGACAAAATTCAACAGCGCTTCATGCTAAAAACTCTCAATAAACTAGGTATCAATGAAGTGTATTAAAATAGTAAGAGCTATTTATGACAAAACCACAGCCAATATCATACTGAATGGGCAAAAACTGGACGCATTCCCTTTGAAAACTGGCACAAGACAAGGAGGTCCTCTTCACTCCTATTCAACATAATATTGGAGGTGCTGGCCAGGGCAATCAGGCAAGAGAAAAAAAAAATAAAGGGTATTCAATTAGATAAAGAGGAAATCAAATTTTCTCTGTTTGCAGATGAGATAATTGTATATCTAGAAGACCCTATTGTCTCAGCCCAAAATCTCCTTAAGTTGATAAGCAACTTCAGCAAAGTCTCAGGATACAAAATCTATGTGCAAAAGTTACAAGCATTCCTATACACCAATAACAAACAGAGAGCCAAATCTGAGTGAACTCCCATTCACAATTTCTACAAAGAGAATTAAATACCTAGGAATACAACTTACAAGGGATGTGAAGGACCTCTTCAAGGAGAACTACAAACCACTGTTTAAGAAAATAAGAGAGGACACAAACAAATGGAAAAACATTCCATGCTCATGGTTAGGAAAAATCAATATTGTGAAAATGGCCATACTGCCCAAAGTAATCTATAGATTCAATGCTATCCGCATCAAGCTACTGTTGAGTTTCTTCACAGAATTGGAAAAAATCACTTTAAATTTCATATGGAACCAGGAAAGAGCCTGTATAGCCAAGATGATTTTTTTAAATAAAATTTTTAAAATAGAGATGGGGTTTTTCTATTTTGGCCAGGCTGGTCTTGAACTCCTGACCTCAGGTGATCCACCTGTCTTGGCCTCCCAAAGTGCTGGGATTACAGGTGTGAGTCACCGTGCCTGGCCATAGCCAAGATAATTTTAAGAAGGACAGAAAAAGCTGGACACATCATGCTAACTGATTTCAAACTATCCTACAAGGTTACAGTAATCAAAACAGCATGGTATTGGTACCAAAACAGATGTATAGTCCAATGGAACAAAACAGAGGCCTCAGAAATAACACCACACACCTACAACCATCTGATCTTTGACAAACCTGACAAAAACAAACAATAGGGAAAGGATTCCCTATTTAATAAACGGTGTTGGGAACTGGTTAGCCCTATGCACAAAGCTGAAACTGGATCCCTTTTGTACACCTTATGCAAAAATTAACTCAAGATGGATTAAAGAATTAAATGGAAGACTAAAAACCCTAGAAGAAAATCTAGGTAATATCATTCAAGACATAGGCATGGACAAAGACTTCATGACTCAAACACCAAAAGCAATGGCAACAAAAGCCAAAATAGACAAATGAAATCTAATTAAAATAAAGAACTTCTGCACAGCAAAAGAGACCATCATCAGAGCGAACAGGCAGCCTACAGAATGGGAGAAAATTTTTGCAATCTACTCATCTGACAAAAAGCTGATATCCATAATCTACAAAGAACCTAAATAAATTTACAAGAAAGAAAAAACCCCATCAAAAAGTGGGTGAAGGATATGAACAGACACTTCTCAAAAGGAGACATTTATTCAGCCAACAAACATGTGAAAATAAGATCATCACTGGTCATTAGAGAAATGCAAATCCAAACACAATGAGATACCATCTCACACCAGTTAGAATGGTGGTCTTTCAAAAGTCAGGAGACAACAGACGCTGGAGACGATGTGGAGAAATAGGAATGCTTTTACACTGTTGGTGGAAGTGTAAATTAGTTCAACCATTGTGGAAGACAGTGTGGCGATTTCTCAAGGATCTAGAAATAGAAATACCATTTGACCCAGCAATCCCATTACTGGATATAAACCCAAAAGGATTATAAATCATTCTACTACAAGGACACATACACATGTATGTTTATTGTGGCACTGTTCACAATAACGAAGACTTGGAACCATCCCAAATGACTATCAATGATAGACTGGAAAAAGAAAATGTGAAAAAGGATGAGTTCCTGTCCTTTGTAGGGAGGGACATGGATGAAGGTGGAAACCATCATTCTCAGCAAACACAACAACAGAAAACCAAACATGGCATGTTCTCACCCATAAGTAGGAGTTGAACAATGAGGAACATGGACACAGGGAGGGGAACATCACACACTGGGGCCTGTTGGGGGATGGGGGCCAGGGGAAGGATAGCATTAGGAGATATACCTAATGTAGATGATGAGGTGATGGACGCAGCCAACCACCATGGCACGTGTATACCTATGTAACAAACCTGCATGTTCTGCACATGTACCCCAGAACTTAAAAGTAT